CTCCAGGCATTTGTAAGGTTTTTCTCCAGTGTGAATTCTTTGATGATAATAAAGAGTTCCCCTCACAGCGAAGCTCCTTCCACACTCCAGGCACTGATATGGTTTTTCTCCTGAATGGGTTCTCAGATGGTTTTGAAGCTGCTGATTTGTTTTGAAGGATCTTCCACATTCTATACATTCGTTTTTCTTTTCTCCCTGGTTTTGGGTTCTTCTTCTTCGGGGATTCCCGCGTTTTCCGTCTGTGCTGAAGGACTCTCCGCGCTCCGGGAGCGTCTCGCGGGCTCCGCTTGTCCCCGCCTTTCCCTCCTTCTCTCCGCTTCTCCCTCCGGGTATCGCCCTTTCACGGGGTCCTTTTCGGCTCCGCCTCATCCCGGTTTGCGGACGGCTCTTCTGCAGCCGTGCAGCGCCCGGGATTTTCTTCCCGCCGCCGCCTCCTGAGGTGGGCAGGGCAGCTCCGCGAGGCCGCTCCCCTCCTCTCGGGCGGCGCTTTCTTCCTCCGCAGGGCTCGTCCGTCCTCCTGAAAGAGCGAAGGAGGAGGAAGACAGGAACGTCAGGAGAGAGGAGTCCCAAGGCTGCCCGGGGAGGAAGGTTGAAGCTTCCGCCTCTCACCGGCCTTTCGGGCAGGCTGGAGGAGAGGACGACAAATTCTTCCGCCCCGCCTTTCAGGCCGGGCCTCGAGCTCCCCGTCAGCCTCCCTCCCTCCTTCCCTGCCCGGGAGTCTTAAAGCGTCCCCTGCACCCTACCTGCATCGGGCGCCCGCCAGCCCGGACCCTCCGTCCACTCCTCGCACTTACGTTCGCAATATCCTCCCAGCCACGTCATTCAAATCCGGGCGCTTAGCAACCGGTATGCATTATTCATGAGGGCTGCAACACCCCCCGAGTCACGTGATCTGAGTGCCTCCCAGCCAAGCAAAGTCCACAGGGAAAGCTGAATTGGCTTAAACGCTGAGTGACTCCTTTAAAAACTGCAAGGATTTGCTTAAAAAAGAAATCATGTGTACGGAGACTGTCGGTGATCCACGTCATGGTTGTCTCAAAGGTGCTTTTTTTCAAGAGGCAACTGGGCTTTCTGGTTTTTCTTTGAACTTACCTTTCGCTTCTCATCCAAGAAGCTTCTTCAGTTCTGACTGGATGGGGGAGGGGGATGTATTATTTATAAATGCTTCCAAGCATCTTGGATGAGAAGGGAAAGATACATTCAAAGAAAAAACATAAAGTCCAGTTGCCTCTTTAAAAAAATACCTTTGGGTTAACAAAGAAAGGGTGAGAAATTGGGGTGACTCACTTAACAAATGCACTGCTTAGCAATGGAAATTCTGGCCCCAACTGTTTCAAGGACTACCTGGATAGATAGATAGATAGTTAGATAGTTAGATAGTTAGTTAGTTAGTTAGATAGATAGATAGATAGATAGATAGATAGATAGATAGATAG